CTGGATTCTGGGCTCTTTAGAAGACTATGTTTCTCGCTCCTCAAAGTGAGATAGGGGATCAGCAGCTTTTGCACCATCTGAGAGCTTATTAGAAATGTGGAGCTTCCAGCTATCCCAGACCCACAGAGTCAGAGTCTACAGATGAACGGGACCCCTAGGTGATGCTGGTGTACAGTAAGAGTTAAGAAACATCGGTCAAAGGACAGCTGAGGAAGCCTGAACACAGGGAGCTGCCCAAAGGTGGCAGGAGGGAGACGGAGAGAGATGTGGAGAGCTAATGCACCAGAGGCTGGGGAGGCAGTTGAGGCTTTGGGCTAGGGACCATGGGAATAGTGGGGTCATTCATTCATTCTCAGGCATTTCAGGAGGGAAACAATGTAGGGCTTCAGGGATGATAGGAAAGGAGACAATTGGCCTTCACATATAGGTATGGAGGAGCCTGCAGGGAGTATCCAGATACAGACGTCCAAAGGCATTTGGAGAAGCATATTAGATCATAAAGTCCTCTTGTACTTTATCTCAGCAACAAAGACATTCAAAATGTCTTTGAAAAATGTAATAAATCACCTAAAATGTTGTAGTAGAATAACAAAATGTCACAACTCAAAGGAAGCATAGGTGTCATCTAGCCCAACCCTCTCCTGTGATGAGAGGAATTATAAGTCCAGGAAGGGGAGGTGACTTTGACAGGTGAGTCAATAGAGAAATAATGACATTCTAAGTTGCCTGGCTACCCACAGAGGGCTTATCTCATCTCACTGTTATTCTAATAATACAGGCCTTGGAAACCAGGAATACTGGCTAGAAGTCCAGAAAGAATCAATGGAAGTCTTAGCAAATGGCTCAGCAGGAAAACTTGAGGAATTTTATAAACAAGGTTGTTTGCATGGTGCACAGACCTTGGTCAAGTTTCAGGGTTATTTCCGAATATACTTGGTATTGGTATACAAAAACCAACTCTAATCTGGAATGCTTATTATATGACAACAATATTAACATTTATATACCAGTTACTATGTGGCACCACTCACAAATTCCAAATGCCTTATGTATTCAACTCACTTAAAACAACTATATGAAACAGTAGGTGCTAGTTTTCTCCCCCATTTTACAGATGGAGAAACTAATGGCCAAATAAATAACCTACCCAATGTCACATGGCTCATAAGTGGTGGAGCTAGGATGCAAATATGCCACAATTTTTAATTTTCTTTTTGGAAGATTGGTTATACCTATTTTTCTTCCTTTTCATGTAAAACCATAACCCTGCATAGACTGTTGCGCTAACACACATGCTTGGCTTAGGGCAGTTTATGGTTATTCATTAGTCTATATCCTCTTTAGCTAATCCTTGTACAGTTTTGATCTGACACTGGCTTCCATCCAATGATGGTAATCCACTTCCATACCATTTTAACACTTCTCAGTCCCATTATCTTTAGATCATTTCTAAGGACCATCTTCTTAACAAAACCTTGCCTCTCAATGTGTTTTGGTAACAGGAGACAGAAAAAGACACAGCTTCTATTGTTTTTGAAGGATAAAGCCTTCTTAACTGTGTTTTCCCTTTTTTGGCTTTGGAGCTGAGATTTCTGTTCGGTGGAGTCGAGTTTCCTTAGCCTGGGATCAAGGGCATTGGCTGTGGCTGGCTCCCTCTCTCCGTCCTGAGGAAGAGCGTCCAGCATGCCACCTGTGCCTCCTTTGTACCCTGCTTGGTAAAACGTGCTCCAACCGTGTTTCCTCTGGAAGGCACTGGCACCGCTCCTCTGAAATAAATCCTCCCAGCTGGAGATAGCGGGGGCCGCGGGCCCCCGGGGTGCAGAAGCAAGGCCGTCTTAGGAGGACCTTCATTAATGGCTTTGTGGGTTGCCTTGATTTTCCACACGTCTGACCAAGTCAATTTCCTGTCTTGGATCCCTTTCCTTCTTGTCAAATCCTAAGTTTTCTGTTCTTCATTCTTGGCCTGGCTGTGTGGGTGATCGATTTTAATTTTTCTGCTTAAAATGTACCGAGTGTTCGCCTTTTGGAAAAGAGTCTAGAGCAGTGTCAGGGGAGGGACCCAAAGTTTAATATTTTCCAAATGATAAAACTCAAAGTCTATTTTATTCTACTTCTCCCTCTCATCTCCTTTCTTTTTTAAAATTTTACTTTCAGTTGACATGCAATAAAATTGACCTTTTAAATGTACAATCCTATGAATTTTAACAAATGTATACTGTCATGTAATCAGCGTCATAATCAGTGCTTTGTTTTTTAAACTCTGACTCTTTGAACAAAATATTACGTAAACATGCTAATACCTCACATAACATAATAGAACTATTATTAGCACTAGCCGTGGTTGCTTTTTCCTCCCAAAGAGGATTATGTTATTCATTAAGACATTTTAAACATTGTCATGTTTTGTTTATTTCTAAGAAAAACTTCCAGCTCTTGAATACACAGATATAAATAGACAAGATCAACATTTTCATGGTTTAATACAATTGATTCTACCACGTGTACCATTAAATTTCTTTTTATTCCTTTGGTCTAGTATGAGTGATGTTTTGATGGTTTGTTTTAAAGAATCTTGATTGTATTACTTTGTTTTAGCAGTTATTTATTTAGGACAAGATAAATGATATCTGATTGAGAAATGGTATTTACATCTCATAATGTAGAAAACAATGTTGTAAAAACAAAATAAGCAGAGAGACACAAATGTCAAGCTTGACTATCACTTCAAATCACAATTTCCAGATTTGGGAGGAAGTAATCATCATCACTTGAAAGTGGAACGATTTGTCTGTTGCTTTATCTTCAAAACTAAAAATATATAGAGAAAAGAAATTTTGATTAATGGAGAATAATCTGCATGATTTTGAATGGCAAAACAAAAGCCAAAAAATTTCAATGTTTAGATAGTCTTGACCTTTAAGTTCTAAAGAAAAAAATTTTTTTTTCAAAGATTTATTTATTATAGAGTCTTCCTACACTCCATCATTTCTTTGGTCTCTCATTCTTCAAGACCTAGCTAAAAGTAATCTTTCCCTAAAAAATTTTGTTTCCCCATGGTGGAATTAGCTATTCTTTCATCTGTGTTCAGCTCAAATATCTCCTGGAGCATTGAATGTTTTTTGTCACAATCATCTACTTATATAAATTCGTCCTCCTCCTTAGTCTGTAAGCAACTTAAAGAAAGGGCCATATTTTATTCATGCATATTTTGATAGAGGCATTAGCAAAGAACCCACTTGTTAATGAATAAAAAATGAATAAGTAAATATCATTGAACAGTTGATTAAATAGTTGATATTAATATTCATTCCATTACTAGTGTTACTTAGGCACAGCAAGGTGCTAGAAACACAATAATGAACAAAGGTGGCCTGGTCTTTGCCCTCATAGAGATTACAGTATGGTGAGAGAGAAGACAATGATAAATATCATCAATTTTAGAGAGGGTGCCCTTTTTGCAACTGATAGAATGCATTTTAATAAAATCAGTTAATATGTTTTCCATTATAATTTTACAATTTCACTAACATTTGACATTACTGTAATAAGACATTACTTTCAGTAAAAGGGCTATTAGATATGACTTCAACATAGTTAGAAAATATATGAATGTTTTTATTTCTTGAGTTTTCTTGTTTCAGTTTCTGGGGGATAATGCTGAAAATTGCCTCTTTCTAACCTATTCATAAATATGTTGTACACTTCAGCTGCACGTGCTACTTGTATGGAAATCAAGAGAATGGGCCACTGGTTCCTTTTTCTTTAATGCTTGAGTTATATTTATGATGATATTTTATAAATTAATGGTTTGCTTGGCTGATCGACTAACTTGCATATAAATTTTGATGGCAAACTTTCTTTTTTGAAAATGGTTTGACCAAATCCAAGAAAACCAGGGGAAAGAAAGGATCATAATTTTCTGTTTACTCGCTGGTGTCTTATTTTCCTTTATCCCAAGAAAGAAGCAGCCTGCTTATGTTTTGATAATGCTGTTTATCTGTCAGATGGTGCAGGCAGAAGCCAGCTGTTTCCCATAAAGATATCTCAGGAAATAGCAATAGGGCTGTCTACAACGGCAGATGCTATCTGATACCATTTCTAGGGGGTAGTTCCTGTTGAAACATAGGAGGGTTCTAAGGAACAGGCCAAGATGTCAAGAATGGTTAGTGCTGATACATGCCAAAGTCAATGCAAAATAAGTAAAGAGGAAAACAAAATCCTCTTTGAGGGAAGAAAGAAAGATTCAGAAGATGGTTAAAGCAGGCAGTATACACAGAGTGTGTTGAGAGAGGGATTGGTGACACAGTCTGATAGTGGGGGGTGAAAGCTCAAAGCTATGGACACAGTCCCTGGTGCCCAGATCTTAGCAGACGTTTTCATAACAGAAGTCCTTGGAATCTGAGCTTGGTGATGGAGGAAAGAGAAAGCAAAGCTCAGAAGACCTCAAGTGCTTGGAGCTCAGTCATTTCATGTAGGCTAACTTTCCAATGAAGAACATTAAAGAACTCTCCCCACAGTCACTCAAGAGGAACAGTGCCTCTATGTATAAAGCACTGGACCCAGGCATGGGCTCCATGGGGATGAGAGGCAGCAGTTCCAGAGGAGGGAATCCAGGGGAGAGGGAGTCATGAAGCCGTGGCCCATGAAAAACCAGCATGGAGAAGAGTAGTTCACGAGAAACAGGACAAGTTTTCCTCAAATGTTTCAAGAGTTGTCATAAAACGTCTTGGTCTGTGAGTTCCAGAAGGCTGGACTAAGAATCCATAGGAAGAAGTTACAAAGTGTATATTTTATCTGAGCATAAGTAAAACCAGTATGTTCGATGAGTGAAATGTGGGGGTATATATATAAATTAAAGTTGATTTTCGACTCCTGCTATCTCTTTAAACCTGCTCATGGGGTGTGGCCTTTACGCTCCACTAAAAAAAAAAAAAAAAAAATTGGGTAAGCCATGTCTTTTCTGTTCTCTTTTAGGTAAAAAAAAAAGTTTTACAGCCACTTAAAGTAAAAAACACAGCCTCAAACCAGTAATAAGAAATGACAGGGAAGTCAGGGAGACACGACTCTTCTCTATTTCTCTGCTTCATGCTTTTTCTCCTTCCACAGTTTGCTCACTGTGATGCCTGATCCTTCCAGGTAGAAGCAAGGAAAGGATGGAGATATGAGGGGGACAGGGAAGCTGTAGTGGCTGCTCTGTTACAATGGCTTCACACTCCTTTAGTCTGGCATGTGTTTAAGCTGACTCTTTTGTGTCCTCCTCAGGAGTCCTTCCTATTCCTCGTGGTCTCCTGTCTGTAGTTCCCTTGACCTGGATGAATGTCATCTAGTCTAACTGTTGCTCCTTTCCCCTCAGTCCCTACAAACCTTCCTCCAGCTTCTCTTATGCTAAGGTTTAGTAGCCTTTGGGTGGCCTCATTGAACGAGACCTAAGACAACCCCCACCCTGGCTAGCTTTTACACACAGTCTGGAAGTGCAGACCCTTCCCAAGACAGCAGCATCTCTTCTCCACTACCTTGGCAAAGTGGCTGGCCAGATCTTTCTCTCCTTGGCATCTCTTGATCCACTGTGCTTGCCAACTAGAGGAAGCAAGTGCCTAACTCTCCACATGGACCCATCGGAGCCTTTCTTTGAATTGAGATGATGGGAAGGGAGGTATCCTCCAACACTTTCCCCACAAGACCCTTTCCAATCTCCAACAACTTGAGCCTTTTATACCCTGTGGGTTGCAGACAAGTCTGGTAACAACTTCTCAGCCACAGTGGTCTGTCTCACGATTCATTTTGGAATGTAGCATCTATTGTGAACAGAATCTGAAGAAAGAAAAGTTCCATGTTAATGCCCTATTACCCAAGAGAGGGCTTTTTAGATAAATAGTATACTATTAATATTTACATGATGAGTTGGGAGCTGGACTCATTTGGTAGCTTTTAAACTTTCCTGTGGCCAAGTTGTGCAATTTTATGGCAGTGCTTTGGGGACTTTAGGTGGGAACAAGAGGCAAGCCTCAAGTGGTGGTCTGGCTCCTCCATTGTCAAGTCAACTGAAGCAGCTTGGCTTTTGATTTTGTAGAGTTTTGTAGCTTTTATTTGTAGAGTTTTAATGTAAGATCTCACTGGGAGAGGATTATGCTGCCAAAAAAATAAAAATAAAAATAGCTGCTTTACCTGGTAGACTCATCTTGACTATTGATTCATTTACTCATTTGCCTACTCTGAGCAAGACACCAGTCTAGGCAGTTTTACTCTGATACTAGGAGTCAGAACTGCTAGCACAGCAAGTAAGCAGGGTTTCCAATGACAGTTTAGGTCAGCCACATCCTCACTGGGGGAACTTGGGGGAGTTACTGAAATTTTCTATCTTTCAATTTTCTCATAGGTTAAATACCTATCTGGTAGTATTGTTTTGCATTGTGTATGTCAAGTGCCCTGCATGGTATTGTAGCTACCATGACAGAAAGGAAGAAGGACACACTTGTAGATAGGATGAGGTCTCAGAGTTAAGTCACTAGAATATTTAAAAGATCAGGTCCCTCTTTTATTCCCTAAATTGGTAAATTCAGATGGTTTCTTGCTTATAGCCTAGATTTTTGGAGATAAGATAGCATAAAGATTAAGAGTATATATTCTGGAGCTAAATTACCTAGATTTAAATCTAGGTAGCTCTGCCACTTACAAGCTTTGTGACCTATGCTTCATTTTCCTCGAATATGAAATTGAGATGGTAATAACTAATTTATTCATGGGAGGGAGGGAGGGTTAAAGGATGTTGACAGGTGTAAGCACTTGGCACAGTGCCTGGCACATACTAAGTGTTCACTAAATGTCAGGTATCCATATTCATATTGCCTCGGGGTTTTTTCCTAGAGATTTTTGCATTCCTTAGTGGAAATGGGGGCTCCCAAAAGACTCCCAGAACAGGCTGAGCACACTCACTGTCAGCACTTAATGATAGAGCCCTTTCTCCAGAAGAAAGAGTCTAAGCTGAAAAGAAACAGAATGCCAGAGTTCAGAGTCTGACTGAGGAGTTCCAGCTGAGAGTTATTTTAAGGTACAAGCAGGTAGTGTCATGAAGACTTGGGAGCAGCCCAGTCACGTCAAAAAGAGACTCCACTGGCAAGCAAATCATTTAGCAGAGCCCAGGGTTCCTAGGAGATTCAGGCAGGGGGCCCAAACTCAATTATTTTTCTTTCCATTTCTTAGGAGAAGCTGGAAGGGAGGGGAATTTGGACTCAGAGAGTAAAATGAGGGGATTGAATGAGATGATCTCTAAAGACTGTTCCAGCATTCCGCAAGGCACTGAGTCTATGAGCATGACTAAAAGAAGAGAGATTAAAAAATATTCAAGGCAGGAGCATTCAGGCAGATGCTCAGGAAAATATGTCCCAAACAAATTCCTGCTGAACTTCAGAATACCCTGGTAAGGGAAATGATGTGAATTTCATACCCGGAGTTATGGAAAATACAATGAAGCACATAAGACTGGGGGAAAATCTTACACTGGCAGAGATAGAACCTTCTTTATTCAGCCAGTCTCTCCTCATTTCACCACAGCTAGAAGTTATGTTTTGTCAAAGGAAGCTTCAAAAGAATTTGGATGGACAAGTTCAACAGTGGCTGCAATCAAATTATCCCTTTTCTTTTTTGAAATCTCCTATTGAGCAATAGTTATTAGGCCCAGCCTCACAAAGGCAAAATAATTCATGAATTATATTTAAGCGTGACTGAGGATCTCAGGAGTATAATGGCCATACATATCTCTAAGAATGGCCATACATATCTCTAGTATAATGGCCATACATATCTCTAAGAAGCAGTCCAAACAGTTGAGATATGCAGTAGAGTTTGTGTGTTATAAGCAGGGATTCCCCAACCTATGGTGAGTTGTATAATTATTTCATTATATATTACAAGGTAATGATAATAGAAATAAAATTTATGATAAATGTAATGTATTTGAATCATCTGGAAACCATCCCCCTCTTCCCAGGTCTGTGGAAAAATTGTCTTCCATGTAAACGGTCCCTGGTGCCCAAAAGGTTAGGGACCACTGATATAAGGTCATGAAACTAAGATGTAAAACATCATGTGATGAATAAGGATATTAAAATGGAATTAAAGTATTATTGCAAGAGAGGAATTTTTGTGCTTCAAGGGATGAAAGATGGGGGAAGTTTTGGCAAGAGCCAGGAATGAGACAAGCAGCTGCTGTTGGAATCTCTTTGCTATTATTATACCAGAGCATCCCTGAAGTTTCCAGACCAGGATTTCTTGCCCTACACAAACAGTAATCATTCTGCCAAGATGTGGCTCAGCATTCAGTATAGGAGCTGAGCCACTCTATGCCGTCCATCAGCAAAGCCTCAGACTCACCATGCTCCTCCTCTCTCTGCCAGAGAAACCTCTTAAGGCATCATCTGAAATCTGAGATAGCAGTCTTCCCTGGTGCTGCCTTCCTGCTCACACCAGGTTCACCATCTTAACAGCAGAGCACAATTCAGTAGCATTCATGTTTTGGCTCCAGCTTAGGCAATAGTCTCTTGAGATAGAGGACGCATCTGTTAGCACTGATTACCTGTATCCCCAGCTGTCAGCCTCTTTGGGAAAGGGATTCTCATATGAGAATGACCTCCAACAACAAGTATACTGGGTCATTCCCATTTTGGATGAAGCAGTTGCATCCATGCAGGGTAGCACACCAGGCAGAAAAAATTAACGGAAAAAAAAAAAAAAAAGAGTTGGCCCCACCTCTTGGTCACTCAGTGACTCAAATATCCTACCTAAAAATTAGAAAACTAAGCTCAAGCCAATGTCTCTGTGACTAGCCAAAATGTCTGAATATTTGAAAATATGTGGAGGTCGGGTACCAAGTTCACTCATCCAAATGACTGACTCACATTTTGGCAACTGTGTAATGCCAAATAGCATTTTGGTCAAAGATTTCATGGAATTAAAAAAAAATCAGCAGAAAGAGTTTTGGTGTAAACAAAATGGATCCAGTTATTTATTATAATATTTTGAGCCCCCCCCTCCCTGGGGCTGGTTAAGCTCTGAGTGTGCTGTAGTTGGCTTACTCCCAAAGCCACCTGCTTCCCTCATTCTCAACCTTTGCTGTAACATACGAAGTGAAAAAAAAAAAAAATCAAAGACCTAGGTTTAAATCCCAGCCCACTAGGAAAGCTATTTGGCCACCCTGAGACTCCACTGGCCTCAACTGTATCATCCATGAAATGGGAACTTTAATAATGTACCCTGTGGCAATGTCGTGAGGAGTAAATGTAGTGGTACTTTAAGTCCCAGCTCACAGCAGACCCTGGACAAATAAACAGTAGATTAATGAGGGCAAACACAATGCGAATTAGCACCTGAAGAGGCACAATCATTCATCACAAAGCTGCTATTTAAACTCCCTCCTACCATCCCAGGGTTTCTCAAATTGTGATCTCTGACCATCTGCCAGAATTCTTCCAGGGGGCTTAAGAGAGACAGAGACTTCTGGTCCCCACCCCAGATGTGACAAATCAGAAGCTCTAAGAATGACCATATCTAACATCCTCCCAATCTCCAGATGACTCCTGAGTACCTTAAAATTTGAGAGCAAATGAATTAGAGCAGTAGGTAAGACTTATTACCCTTTTTAGTCATGGGTTTGTAAAGAAATAGCTTGTATGTTTCAGTGATTCTTAAACACTCTCTGCAGTTCCTAAGTCCAGAGGTCCATGGATATTCTGAACAATTAGACAATCTGGTCAGTTTGGAGAATTTTAAAAAAACAGTCAAGGTATTTCATAGGGGAGCTGGTTTTCTGATTTTTCACTTGACTTGCTGGCCAACTGAGTAATTTTGTGCTATTATTTAGGCCTAAGGGGTGGCACTTACTCAATTTCCTGGGATATTAAACTGAATTTAATATTTTTTATTTAGTTTGAAAAAACCCCAACTACCATAGAAAGTGTCTGGTCTAAAATCCATTCATACTTGTACTTGATAGTCCAAAAGAACTCTTAACCCAGGAACACTGCAGTCTTGAGATTTAAGCTGAGCAGAGAAAGTATTTAGTGGGCGTGACATGCTGGGCTAGTGCAGATACATGCTAGCACAAAGGTGAGAAGCAAAACAGCAAACACTGGCCATTTCTTTGGCAATTCAGCCCAGGTGTATCTGTTGAAAAAGCAAAAATGGAGTTGGCAGAGCTGTCAGGCTACCAGAGGGTTCATCCAACAGTGAAACCAGGGAAGCACCATGAAGCCTGAAAACTGAGCCAATGTCACTGGCAAGACTGGGAGTTCTCCTCCGCCATTCGTGGAGCCTTTACTAAATGGGACCCTCAGCTGAGCAGCGATACGGAGGACTTGGAGAGAGGCCATGGAAGGCAATCAAGATCAATCAGGCTGCAGAGGAATAAATTCTTTGAGGGATTGGCCTCCTTTGTAGCAGAGCGATTGGGCTGTGGGCAGGGTGAGTGGTGTGCAGGGAAAATCAACAGAGCCTCGAGATGGCTCAGTGATAGGAGTTTAGAGATTTTTACTAAGAACGTCAAAAGAAAGGGATTGAGTCGAACTTCAGCGGAAATTGTGCTTGAAATTGGAGTCATCGTTGTGAGGGGGAGGGTGATCCTGTGTTAGGGAAAGAGCTAGTGCTGCTTTTCCACTCCAGGGCACCCACTCCCTCCACCCCCACCTCCACCCCCACCTCCACCCCCTCCTCACTCCCGTAGCCACCACTTTTTGACATAGGGTTGGCAATACGTCAGATAATGTGCTCACTGCTATCTATTTACTATCTCATTTAATCCTCAGGGTCACCCTGCAAAG